TGTTGCAGTTTTTTTATCTCACCCGGTATGTGATCAGCGACCCTGATATTAAATTTCAGATAACAAGCCATAACTGTTCACCCAATACAAATTTGTACCAAATATAGTGTTGTTTACTAGTTTTCGTGCACGTGTAGTATACATATCTAAAATCAACTTTTTATCACAAACCTATTACTAACAGGGACCCCAACACCAAATTTCAAATTTCCAGCTTCATGCATTTCCTGCTTAGTACACTTAAAGTATACATTTCCAAAACCACCTCCATATCTCAATTCTAGATACCAATAGAGAACTCAATATCAAATTTGGGGATTCTTCACCCAATACCTAATTTAGTACCTTATAGTACTTTTCGTACAAATAAAGGATGCATTTCCAAACCACCACCAAACCTCAAACACAGATACCATCAGCAATCTAAATATCAAATTCAAGAATTGTATCTCCATCCCTTCACTCAATACCAAATATAGTACCAATCTGTACTTTTCGTACAATTATAATACACATTTTCGAAACCACCTCCATGTCTAAATTCGAGATTTCCAGAGACCTCAACGTCAAATTTCGGCATTCCGGCTCTATCCCTTCACCCAATACCAAATTAATTACTATTTAGTGCTTTTTGTACAGTAATAGTACATATATCTAAAACCTCTCCCATATCTGATTTCCAGATACCAGCAGACACCTTAATATCAAATTTGAGGATTCCTTCACCCAATACCAAATTTAGTACCATTCAGTAGTTTTCGTACCAATATAAAACGCATTTCTAAACCCCCACCAAGTCTCAAACATTACATGCGCATCCAATGCCACATTGTACCAAATATAGTACAATTTAGTATTTTTTGTAACCTTGTGCATACTTCCCATTAGAAAACTTCAAAATTCCACCTTTATCCGTTCACCCTAAATCCAAATTTTCGTACCATTAAATACAGTTCGCACACTTACTTTACATTTCCTAAACCGCCGTCATATATCAAAATTACTCTCCAACCTTGATTCTTCTACCAAATTTCAAGTTTTTAGCTCTATCCGTTCACATAACGCCAAATGGTACCCTTTTAGAAGCTTAGTACCATTTTAGAACTTTTCATAAAGAAAAATTCCAAAAACACAATGATACATCTTCTGTACTCCATAAGTGACCCTCATTCCAAATTTCAGAATTCTAGTTTATTCCAGTACAAAGTATTTAATTTGTTTTATACATTTAAGTACTTTGCGTACGCTTATAGTACCAATTTCTAAGGACCCAGCCTCTCTGACTCTCGTGCAAAATTTCAAGATTCTGGCTTCAGCCGGTTCCTCCTTTTCCAAAACCCTTTTGTATGATTGAAAAATTTTAAATGGACACATTTTGAGATATATGAATTGCGAAGATTTCCATTAACATCATATTCAAATACACGGGTTGTAGTGTAGGGTGCAAGAAGACAATTGAATCTTACATTTTTGAGGCCTTCAACCACAAAGTGTCATCCTAATGTCTGAGAGATTAAAAGGTTTGGTATCACAGAACCGATTGTAGCTTCACAAAAGTTTATTTTTTCATTTGGAGCATTATCTATCGCCACCTCTCTCACTTTTTTTGTGGATATGTGGCAGATATACCTATGCTGAGAACGGCGAACATTAGTAACGGTTAATACCTACATTCGCCGACATTAAAGCTCAAAACGGTTTAATATTTTTTGTGGAGTATTTCAACGGCATTTTGAATTACATTTTCTACCATAGATTTTATATTTCATGTCAGTGAGACCGTCTGTTAGTCAATTCAATGAATTATCGGCGAAATAATTGATAATAATTTGCCACGAATTGAATTCAGAAGCCATATAAAAATAACTTTTGTTGACGAATTCCCCATTTTTTGTTGTTGTTTTAGTTGAAAAAGGTGCGAGCGATAAGAATTCTAAGGTCTAACGATAAGTGTAAGCGGTTCCATGCTTTAGTTGGTTCGAAGTAAAATGACCAAGAACTATCGAACATCGAATCGACGTCAATTGAGGGAAAAGCGCGTTATTCGTCTACGGTAGCTAATGTGTTGGTGTAAAAGTTGTATTTCTATTAAATAAAAATAATAATAAAAAAAATAAAGAAAAACACCAAACAATTATATGAAAAATATTATTTAAATTTTACTGCACAGCGTCGTTGTTTGCAACACCATGAATGTTTCCGACAAAATGGAAGAGTTTCTAGAAAAATTTCTCAAAAGAAGGGTAAGTTTGAAATTCATTAACTTATATGTATGTCACTCTAATCCCCCCAATTGACATACAATCAATTTTATTTATCGTTCTTCATTTCCCATCATCGTTTTTTCTATTCAATAAATTTTCCAATAAATCTTCAATTTTGTTTTCTTTATGTAAAAATATTCCGATGATTGATCTGTTATGACTAATAATATTTGAGTTTGTTTTCGAACAAAAAAAAAATAATATTTGTAAATACAAATATTCATCGATAGCTGCAACATTCTACGAAATTGCCACGATAATATGTCAGTGTGTGATATATATGTGTATAATCTCAATTTTGGTCTTATCTCAAATTCAAAAACAAAAAAAGTTGAAAAAAGCTTTGATAACGTTCATTTGTTTACCATGAAGAAGAGCAAAGCTTTTTCTGGCTAAAATACTGCACATAACAGATAAACATTAGTAATTTACCAAAACAAAAGCTCAGCCGTCGATATAAAGTTAAAATAGATTAAGTCAAATATTTGAGTACATAGAATACATTGAGGTTTATGTCAATATGTGAGTCATTTTATGGGTGATTTTTTATGATTTTTTGAACTTTATTACTTTTTAGTGTTTCAGTCATCGGTGCTTGTGATTTTTTTGCAAAGGTCCATGGTTTGAATAGCAATTTATAAGATATTTAAAAATGGTAAGGTGGGAATACATAAAGAGCTTATTTGGCTGGCTTAAGTCATGGCGCATGCCCACCTTTTAAAAATAAGAATTTTTAAATTTAAAAAAAAAAATAAAATCCGTTTAAATTTTTTGTTGAAATCTTAAAAATACCGGCAACCTTTATCATAGGCCATCATTCAAATACGAAACTTAAATTCTGGTGAATAATGTCGCTAAAATCATCAAAAAAAAAAAAAAAAAAAAAAACGGAATATAGCCAGGTACCGTTATATGGGTGCTGTACGAAGACCTCACAGACAATGTCACATGTCATAGATTGTAATACCAATTTGGAACTTCAAATACAAAATTTAAAACAATTCTGGTGAATATTACACCTAAAATTCGCACAAAATACCGATCATAGGGAGTACTTATAAGGAACTTCTTTTGTGGATTTTCAGACAATACCATTAAAAAATTTAGCTAAAATCATAAAAATACCGAATATCGGGAGGTACCGTTATATAAGGAAATATACGATGTAGTGGACCGATATAGCTCATCTTCGAACTTGACATGTCTGTAGACAAAAGACAAATCTGTGCAAAATTTTAGCTTCCTATCTTTGTTCGTTATGACTCTAGCGTGATTTCTAGAGACGGACGGACTAGACAGGGCTAAATCGTCTTTGTTATGTCTAAAATTATTATTTCGATGTCGAGTTACAAACGGATTAAAGAACTTAATATACCCTCCATACTATGTATGGTGGAGGGTATAAAATACCCATACCGCTATGAATTTGTATATTGGGAATTTATGTGGAGAATCTACTTCACACACACCAGTTATGAGAGGTACCAGAAGGAGTGGTCGATATATTCCACACCTTGTGTTGATTTTGTCGATTTTGTGTTGATAGACATATTGAGATGTGCGAACTTCGAAACCAATCGAACTTTTATTTTACATTTTATAAGAGCTGTAACTTTTCAAAACTTTGAACCTTTGTGGGGGGAGGTACCAGAAGTAGGAGTCCGATATATTCCTTATACACACTAGATCTTGTATCAATATAACTATTGGGATGTGCCGAGTTTGAATGGAATCGGATGCCCGTTTTATGACCTTCATGGTTATTCAAAAATTTGACCCGTTGTAGCGAGGTACCAGAAGAGGTAGACCGATATCTACCATCTTCAGATGATATCTTGTGTTAAAAAAAATATTAGCATGTGTGTAGTTTAGAACGAATTGGGCATTTTATGAAAGATATAATTATTCAAAATATTGACCTGTTGTGGGGGAGATACCAGCTGGAGTAAACCGTTAATTTTTGTACTCGACCTAACATTGACACAACTATTAGGATTTGCAAAATCTGAACAAAATTTTATCATCCATTCTTGTTCTATAAGCTCAATTATTTTCTATAAAAAAGTTTACCTCTTGTGGGGGAGGTGTCAGAGGGAGTGGACCCATATTGCCAATCACCAAACCCGATCTTAGTTAGACAATAATATTACGATGTACCAAGTTTGGATTAAATCGGATACTCCCTTCGAGAGTTATCGTGCTCACCAAACGGACGGATATCCAAATGTCCTGGAACGGATTTGATCTAAAAAGACTTAGGGTCTAAATCCTTTATTTCGCATTGGAGGTATCAAATGATATATACCCTCTCTAGCCATATGGCTGAGGGTATAAAAACAAATTTAAAATTTAATTATTTGGAACCACTAGTCGCGTTTTCTATAATTTCATAAAAAATATGTTAATATTCTTTCCATTTAAAAGTTACAGACTTTTCACAAGAAGTACTGTTCATCTAAAATTCCACAACACTATCCTTGGATAATGGGTATAAAAATAAACTAATCAAATCAAATGACAACATTGAAAAAAATCATAATGAGCTCACAACATTTTTAACGAATTGAGGCTCCATAGGTATAAAATTATTCTTTCCGATACGAATCTACCTAAAATTCCATCATAAAGCATTTTACCACAAACAAAATCCGCAAAGAATAAAAATAGCGTGCTGCCAAAAAAAACCGAAATTGCTACAACGTCAAACGCAACTATTCAACTTTACACCATTCTCAGTTAATGGTACTGTAAAAATACGTATGAGTCTTGAAAAAGAAACCCAAAAGCCCTGCTCTCAGTACACATGTACGAAGAACAACGATCCCCACCAAAAAGAAACATAAAAAAATGAGAGTATGAGAGTACCGTAACATACGAGCCTCCTCCCCAAACAACATTCATGGCTAATTAGTCGACATCTCCCAGATACGGTTGTTTAAATATGCTGACGTTAGATGGGGTAACCCCCCAACAAACAAACAACAAAACAACCAGAGTTTGTTGGTATTCAAGCTCGATCAAAAACCCGATAAACAAAATGGGAAAATGAGAGTCATAACAGAACAACAAATTGAAAATTGACTCTGTTTTTATGCTGTTAGAGAAGCCGAGAGAATGACTTAACAGAGAGAGTGGGAGAGCGAGAGCGATAGAGAGTGAGCAAAAGGCTTAAATCCAAGTTAATTTTATCATACGAACCATTTCAATTTCTATGGCCAAGACCAGTTTCAAGTTCAGTTTCGCGGCGAATGCTAAAGCGGGCACATCTCTTGGCTTCGTTTAGAGAAAGAAAAGAAACAAAGAAATCAAGATAGAAATCACTTCGAACTCAAATTTATTGGCTTTGGCATTTCTGAATGAAAGCAAATGCCATGTAGATTATTATAAATAAATAAAGCGTAACCAAAATTAACGGTTAACTGTAACAAACAAATACAAAAATATGAAATCATTTAGAAAAGAATGAAAATCCCCAAAAAGCATTCGTGTGTGTAAAAAAGAGGCAAAAAGATTTAAAACAAAAAAATATTTTGAAGTTTTAGTCTTAGCCTATAGCTAACAAACGGTTGAAAATGTTAATGGCTTAGATCTTAATCGTGTTACCCAGTTAATGTCTGATGATTTTAAGCAGCTCAAGCAAATGATCATCATTACCATCAACCAAGCCAGTGTTACCGCGATGATGACGTTCCGTTTTATATAACATCTCAGTTTTTTGTTTTTTTTGGGAAATGAAAGTCAAGAATTGTTTACAGTGTTCATGTGAGCGAGTGAGTGTTCATCGACAGCGGCATCAGACCAGCTTCATATTCGCTATTGTTGTGTGTACTTACTACGTATGTGAAAAAGAGTTCAAAAAGTTAAATGAAATAGATTCGAAAGAAAGGCTAAAGCAACAACAACGAAAACGACAGCAACCAACAGTGAAACGCGAATTTTTTTGAACTGTGAAATGTAATTAATTGATGAATTTTGCTTGGGTTTCCCTTAGCATTTCTTGCAATGACTTGGATATTTTGGTGTTGTGAATTGAAATCAACGAAAAAAAAAATAAATAAATAAAAAATAAATTAAATAACTTGTGTTTGATATTTTATGGCATAGATGTTTTGATTTATTTTTGATTGTCATGCAAGAAGATGTTGTAGTTTAACTGAAGGTCGATTTTTTTAAATTGGATGGCTTTATAGAAAAAAATGTTAATGACTTTTAGCAACACTTCATTTAAACAATTGACATAAATATTTGCGGCACCAACACCCCAAAAATCATACAATGCAATGGCATAAAATGTCCAACGCCAGAACATGACATTATACTTTCCACATGGCTGTGGAAAGTATAAAAATATACGAAAACTCCAAATCTTAATTTTAAATTACGCCCATATTAGGGTGTATAGTGCTCAGCTTTGTGGCTACAGGGCATGTTGTATCTGACTTCGTACAAACCTTGGACATTGTAATATTCCTATGAAATTTCTAAGTAAAGGGGTGGTGGCGCTTCATTTGACACTTCCGACACAAAGGATAACACATTTCAAACTGCGAAGTGAGAGTCCGAAGATTTTGAAACAATGTCTTTCGTAATATTTACACTCAGTACTGCCGAAAATCGACAATATTGGCCATATTCTTTTGACTACAATTATAAACAATCATAATTCGCATTAATTGGAGGATGAGATAACAAAACCGCAAAAAAGCCAAACCATAATTTTTACATTTTTTTTTTAAATTTTATTGAATGAAAGCAAAAATGTCGGAAATAGCATCAAATTTTAGAATAAGCTTAGATTTGTTCGAATTGGTCATCTTTGGCACGAATTATGGCCTTCAAACGGCCAATGAAACCGTCACACGCTGCCCGATTGCTGCTCTGCTGTATTTTGGCCCATTCCCGGCGAAGCGCTTAAGGTGATCGACACTTTGTTATTTTTTTACTGCCAACATTACTTTCCAAAATATTCCAGACACAATAGTCCAACGGATTGGTATCCGGAGATTATGGTGGCCATTGTGTGCTGTAAATGAAGCGAGGAACCTCATTTTGTAACCATTCTTGGGTGACGCGTGCTGAGTCCTTTTGGAATGTCCAAGGACTGCGGCCAAAATGTTTGCGTGCCCAAGGCATTAATACACCCTCCAGAATATTTTCGCGATAGTACTTGGCATTTATTCTGATGCCACGGTCGATTAATACGAGCGACCATCGGCTGTTATGACGGCCCACACCATCACCATGGCCGGCGCTTGAGTTCTGGTGGCCAACCGAAGGTGCACATTTTCAGCTGACCTCTTTGGCAAGTAAACACGATCATTTTGTTTTTTTACAAACTGCTGGACAACGAATACTTATCGGAGAAAACCAAATTCGGCAGTTCATCACTTTCGGCCAAGCGAAGCAACTCTTTAGCTCTTTTGAGTCTATTTTCTTTCCGTTGTGGTGTAAGTTCTTGCACTCTTTGGAATTTCAATGGCTTTACCCCGAGGTCATTTTCCAATATTTGCCGAATGGAATATTGCGATATGATCAGCTCACGAGACATGTTTCGGTCACTGCGATGCAGGTTTCGATCAAGTCGCTTCCTTACTTTTCGAACCATTTCTGCTGATGTTGCTGTTTTCTTCCGTCCACTTCCTTGACGTCGGGCTACGCCACCAGTATCACGGTAACGATCGATGGTACGAGACACAAAATATGTATTCACATTTAAATGCTGGAGTGCTCTAACGATAGCCACTTGTGGTTTTCCAGCTAAATATAAAGAAATCACACTATCACGCTTGAATTCCATCACGCATAACTTTTTTTCTGCAAAAATTCTCACCAAAATGCTTTTGTACGCTTGTGAACAATATAATAAGCTGTCACTGGAATAATTTGAGTAGCTGTCGGACGAGTGGCATAGAAATGGCAGCAGTCTGAAGTTGGTTGCAGTTTTTTCATCTTATCCTGTATAGAAGCTATATCGAAATCTTAAGAAGAATTTTAAAGAGGTATTTCTGAGCTGTATCTGATATATGGTTCCAAATATTATTGTCGTGGAGTGCATATTGTGAAAGTGAGGGACTCAGATATTAAAAAGGATGAAACATATATATGGGAGCTAGACCTTATATTTGATGAAATTTTCATCAAATTTGAAGTATTTGCTTCTAGGCTAAACTCTATCGGATGTGCCGAAATACACCCTTTTTGTACGAATATTACACATATGACGCGCAATAAAATTGAAATCGGACGAATGTGGCGTAGGGCATAAATACATAGCTGCCATACCGACTCCTAAAAATATTTCGTTATATTTTTGGCCCGTACCAAGGGCACACCTTAAGATATTTAGAGTTATTTGTTTGGTTAGATATCAGCAATGGCAAAAAAATGGGGTTTTCTTTACAGAAATAGAATTCTGAATCACTGTGTGGCGTTTCTCAGTTTTTTTCCAAATCTGTACTGATAATGGACATTGATGCACCAGGTTATTCCTAACACAATTAATTTTATAGTGTTAGTGCTGTTGTGATTTTGAACTATTGTCCTGAAATGAGTCCTCTCCTCTCCTTTTTCTGATTTTGTTTACAAATTTTATATGGAAAGTTGGCTAAAGTGTCTTAAAAATTAACGTCGTCGTAACGTACGTCGAATGCTATTGTCATGTTGTTTTGGACTAGACCTATGTCTATTTTTTATATAGCCCCCACAGAATGTTCAGATTTTTAATTTTTTAAGGTTCTCGAGTTCTTTGTATAGTTTAACATTTCCAACAACATTTTGTTGGTGTAGCCCCTTATCCCGAAAATTTGCGTTTTATTAAGCCAATATTATGTCGTGAGGCGTAGTTCTTATTCTACTTATTTTTTATCTAAATTTCTTTCATGTGATAAAAAGAGAAAATCAGCATTTATTCCTGTATGAACAACATTGCCATGTGATTGTAATTTTGTTAACAAATCGTGGGTAAAGAGAGAAGCGAATTAAATAAATTTGCAAAACATTGATGATATCGAAAATAATGGCAAATTAACTCTTACCCTCATTTAAAAACGCTTATCCTCATTGTAAAATGTGCTATAACGGCATAAAGGCGCCTAATGAAATCTTCTGCAAATAAAATTTCAAAAAAAAAAAAAAATAAAATAAATAAAATAATGTGTTAAAATTCAATCAAATAAGAAAAAAAATGATAATACATTAGCTACCGTTATTTGTGTTATTGTTATTTTTTGAGATGAAACACACACACATATATATAAAACGAAAACATCTGAAAATCATATGGGAGGCAGGCAGACATTCAAATAATGTAAACAACAAATCAAAGTGTGCTAATTAAAAGCCCATAAAAATCTTTTAACGAAAACAAAAATTAGCAAATGAATGAATGATGGTGGGCTCGGATGAATGAACAGTAACAGTGGCACATCCGTAAACATAACTTAAGTGGTGAAGGCAGGTTAGAGGGGCCGGAGGGAGATTTGTCAACAAAACGAGTTACTAGGTGATCAAGCCAATGATGAATGCAGAAGTGTAAACAAACAAGAAAACGCTCTGTATACCATTCGAAAACACCAAATGTGCGAATTCGTATGAAATCCATTTTGTGGCTTTTGCGAAAATCTGGAAAACGCTAACGGTTGTTAACGCCAATGCAATATTTTTTTGCCTCATTGTTTTTGCATGAAATTCTAACAATGAACTCCTTTTTGCGATTCAGGTTTGTAAAGGAAAAATAAGCAAAAAAAAAAAAGAGTGTCGTTGAAAGAAATGTGTCAATAAGTAAAATAAATCGAGTGTGCAAATATTATGTGATTGCATCGAGGAGGAGGAGGTAATGGCAAAGACAACGACGTATATACTTACAGACGTTGGTTTAAAACACAAGAAAGCGACACAAACGACAAACGCTATAAAACAATTAAAACTAATGATCAACATCAACATCATGTAACGGTTGGATAAGACGTAATCATAATGGCAAACATTAGACATTAGAATGGGTCGATGTTGTAAGCACTGAAAATAAAATGAAAGTTAAAATCGTGGATTTTTAAAAGGTCTTTGATCCGCGTTTTTAAGTAGACTCAGAGCTATGGTTAAACATTAATCTATCTATATACCTATAAAAAAAATCAATAACTGAGCGACTGAGAATTAACGCCCAGACGTAATGGCTTAAGCTAGAATCTTGAAATTTTGGGTTAGGGCCGCCATTGGTCCGAACGGGTCAGATAAGATTGGGTCTTTGGGAATTCGTACTATAACGGCACGAAAAGCATTAAAAGTTACTAAATATAGCAACCTTTTATTTGAGGAAGCAGTACAGCTAGAACTCTTAAATTTTTAATGGGGGTCACTGATGGAGTGTATGATAGGTGTACCAAAGTGAGGGAAAAGTACTAAAATGTTCTATATTTCGTACCATTTCGTATCATGTGGACGGTTAGAGCTACAAACTTGAAATTTGGAACGGGAATCAAAGTTGAGGAATAAAGTCGATGTAAGGAGGTAATTTTGGAAGTGTATTTTCATGCATACGAAAAGTACTAAACGGTACTAAATTTAGTACAATTTAAATTTGCACTTTACATTACTGGCGGAGTGTAGAAAAAAAAAAAAAAAATAAAATTACTATTCATTCTAGGACTGAGGAATGTAGGTAGTTTTAGAAATTCGTACTTATATGTTCTAAAATTTGGTACATTTTGTGAGAAGCAATAGAGTTGGAATTCTTAAATTTGAAAATGAAATTGCTGGTGAATTGTAGAACTGAGGAATGTAAGCATGGTACTAAATGGTACTAAATTTGGTATAATTTAAATCTTGTGAAAACTAATAGAGTTGGAAATCTGAAATTTGGAAATCAGATTGCTATTGAATTGTAGGACTGAGCTATGTGTGTAGTTTTGGAAATTCGTACTTATGTGTACTAAATGGTACTAAGATGGGTAAATTTGGAACTAAGATTACTGTTGCAGTATAGGATTGGGTTTTGTACTAAATTTGGTACAATTTGGATTTGGGTGAAGCAATAGAGCTGGTATCCGGAAAATTTAAAATAAGATCACTGTTGGAGTGTAGGATTAAGATATGAAGGTAGTTTTGGAAATTTGTACTTAAATGTTCTAAATTTGGTAAAATCTAGATTTTAGTGAACCTATATAGGAATTCTGAAATACGGAATGAGATCACTGATCGAAGGTCAGAATATATGCACCAAAGCGTTATTGTAAATTCGAACTTTTAATTTAGATTGTTTTGGAAATGTGTTCTAAGTGAGCGAACTGTGCTAAATGGTACTAAATTTGGAACAGTTTGGTTTAGTGTGAACGGATGCAGCTGGAATTGTATTGAATTGTGGGCTTGTGATAAAAAGGTGGTTTTGGAAATGTGTACTACAAGTGCACCAAAAGTACTAAATTGTACTATATTTGGTACAATTTGGTATCGGGTGAACATATAGTGCTTAAAATCTGAAATTTTGTATTAGAGCCGCTGTTTATGCGTATCTTAGACATATGGAGATGGTTTTGAAATGTGCACAATAAATGTACGAAATGTACCATATTTTTTAATGGTTGAATGGATAGAGATAAACTTCTTAAATTTGATATTTAAATTATTGATTGATATTTAAATATTGATCTGTGTTTCAAATTTGGCGGTGCTTTGGATAAGGCGGATAAGTCCCGAAATTTAATACTGAGGTCTCTGGTGGAATTTGAAAAGGTGTACTATAATTGTACAAAAAGTACTAAATTTGATATTATTTAAACAGATAGGGGTGCAATCCGCACATTTTATATTGAGGTCTCCGTTGGTATTTGGAATTGAGATATGGAGGTGGTTTTGCACTATAATTGTTCGAAAACTAATAAGTTGTACGAAATTTAATATTGAGGTCCTTGTAGTACGAGATATGGAAAAGTGTATTATAATTGTACGAAAAGTGCTAAATGAAGGGATAACAAAAAAATCTTAAATTTGATATTTAAGCGTTAATTTTGAAATGCGTCCTATATTTGTACAAAAAGTACTAAATAGTACCAAATTTGGTATTGTGTGATGGGATAGGGTTGGATTACTCAAAATTAATTTTGAGATCTCTGTTTGTATTAGGAATTAAGATATGGAGGTGGTTTTGAAAATGTGCACTATAATTGTACGATAAGTACCAAGGACTACTAAATTTAGTATTGAGTGAAGGAATAGAGCTGAAATTCTAAAATTCGATATAGATGTCACTGTTGGTGTCGGTCTTTAAGGGTACAATGGAACAATAATTGTTCGAAAAGTACTATGTGGTACGAAATGGATATTGGATGAACGGACAGAGCTGGAATCCCGAAATCTGATATTGAAGTCTCTGTTGGAATCTGGGATGAGATATTTTGCAAATGAGTGCAAAAATTATATGAAAGTTATTAGATGTTACTAAATTCCGTATTTGGTGAAGGGATAGAGCTGACATTTTGAAATTTGATATGATGTTTAAAAATGGGGGATAAATATCACTAAATTTGTTATTGGGCGAAGGAATAGAGCTGGAATCCTGAAATTTGATATTGAGGTCACCATACTATGGAGGGTATATTAATTTTGTCATTCCATTTGTAACTCCTAGAAATACTCATGTCAGACCCAATAAAGTATATATGTATATTCTTGATCAGCGTAAAATTCTAAGAAAATTCCGTATGTCTGTCTGTCTGTCTGTCCGTCTGTCTGTTGTAATCACGCTATCTTCCGAAAAAATTGAGATAGAAGGCTAAAATTTTGCACACATGTATATTTTGCCAGTAGGCAGGTTAAGTTCGTAAATGGGCCATGTAGGTCCATGTTATCATATAGCCCCCATATAACGGTACCTCCCGATATTCGGTATTTTGATGATTTTAGCGACATTATTCACCGGAATTGTTTCAAATTTTGCATTTGAAGTTCGTAATGGATACTGCATCCTAAGTCAAAAAATGAGCCATGTAGGTCCATGTCTTCATATAGTCCCCATATAACGGTACCCCCCGATATTCGGTATTTTGATGATTTTAGCGACATTATTTAGCGGAATTGTTCCAAATTTGGTATTTGAAGTTCGTAATAGATACTGCAGCATAAAACAGAAAATGGGTCATGTAGGTCCACGTCTTCATATAGCCCCCATATACCGTACCGTATATTGTAATAACTTATGACAAAAGTTGCCTATGCAGGTCCACGTCGTCGTATAAGCATTCGAAATTTTTAAGATTTTAACAGAATTTTTAACGGATTTTTTTTTTTGGAAATTGCCAAATTTTTACCAAATGGTGGAGGGTATTAAAAGTTCGGCCCGGCCGAACTACCAGCTTTTTTACTTGTTATACTTGTATATCTTTAGTTTATTCTTGCATTAAGTATATAGTTAAAGTCTTTCTTAAATATGGAAAAAATCGGTATCCTCTCTTATATCTCACTTTTTGTCTCCGTGAATCTTCCTTAACGACTACCACCTCTTACCTAAGCTAATCTACATCACTAATAACTACAACGGAGGGCCTATTTTATTCAACTGCTTTAAGATGCCGCCAAATGGTTATTTAAAGGTAGCAACATCTCATTAAATCTAATTGTTCTCTTCCAATTGTTGGTGTACACAATTAACAGTTACACAATGATACAATACCAACAGATTTGGAAAATAAATGGAATTACTTGATGTTTTACTCTTGGCTAAGGTTGTTGTTGTTTCAGACTTCCTTAACCGGCTCAAATACAATACCAAGTGAATTAATTCGAGACAATATCTATCCAAGCCAAATGAAATGCGTTTTGGCCAATGATTACTAATCTACTTTGTTACATTTTAGTTAGTTACCAAAAGTTCGCCGGTACGGAAATCTTGTCTTGACAAAAATGAAGTGAAATAAAATTTTTCAAATAACGGGAAAATATTTACTTAATGAAGAAAATTCCCAAACATAACAACAAAAATCCATTAACAACCCTCCGGTGTCCAAAATAAATGTTAACTAAATTGTAAAATATCCGCACAAAAGTATTACAAAATAATATTCTAATTAAAAAACAACAAACAAATGATACGCATAACACGTCTACAAAATAAATTAAAATTTTTTGCGGAAATAAAAATTTTATTTGAAATACAAATTTGTTAATAAAAAGTAATAATTAAAAATAAATATATCAAAAATACCAATTAATTTGTGTTGTAATTCGCTGTGTGTACGTGTGTGTGTGTGAAAAAGCCTCAACGGTGGATTTGGTAGTCAGTATTAATGCTCAGGCAAAGAGTGCGTGTGAAAAGTGAGAGTGACAGCAGCAGCTGCAACAACAACAACGTTTGTTTTGCCCCGAAAAAATCCGGCGCGTCAGCTTCTTGAGGAGAAACATGAATTTTATTGGTCGCCATGATCATCTGGGCGGTTATCGGCGTGTGAACACAACCACCTACGGCATACCCCTGTTTCCAAAAAATGAAACAACACCGACGTTTGTCAAAGAAAGTGTTTCGTGGAAGTGGCACAAGGTAAAGCAGAGAGAAAGAAAGAAAGACACTAACAAACAGAAAGTTGTTATTGTTTGTTTATTGTAATAATTATATAATTTTTTGAATATAAAAATATTTGCATATTGTTAATAATACATTAACTGTGATTCCACTGTGAGTCCCCAAGAGGGTTGAGTATTTTGAACGAAGTAAGGGTGTTATAAAGATGTTGAAGTCACCAGTCCATATTTTTGCTATCCTCATTTATAAAAAATATGATGCATTATTTTTTGTTTCCATGAAGGTTGCCATTTAAAATATTTAGATTAGTCAGGGGTTGTGAACATTTTAAATAAAAGTTCCTTAAATATTTTTTACGGGTTTTTAAAAGATTATATTTGAAATAAGGAATATTCGAATGGGAAATATTGTTCCAGATTATCAAAATTTAGCTATTCTATACATTTACTTCGAATTTGATGTAAAAGATATATTAGTCAGGTCAAATTTGGATCAAGTTCCGGCTGAATAAAGTCAGCTGTTTTGGACCTCATCGATTTATGTCTAAAATCAATGATATTTGGTACCAGAAGTCATATACAGTTGTTCCCAGTATAAATTTATATTTGTTACAAGAAGCTCTGCGAACATTGATATTCTGATCTTCTTCCGTATAAAGGTTTTATGGTCTTCTTTTAAATAAAGAATTGTTGGTCTTCTTCTGCGAGGAGACTTTCTGGTCTACTTCTGTGAGAAGACTTTCTGGTTTTCTTCTACAAAAAGACCTTCTGCTCTTCTGGGTTTCTTCTATGAAAAGAGCTTCTAGTCCCCTTCCATGAAAAAACATTAGGTTTTTTTTCTGCGAGACATTCTATTTTTCTATGAGAAGACTATTTGGTCTTCTACGAGAAGACCTCTTGGTCTTCTATGAGAAGACATCTTGGACTTTTAAGGGAAGACCTCTCGGAATTTTTTGGGAGACCTTCTGGCCTTCTATGAGAAGCCATTCTGCCCTTCTATGAGAAAACCTTTTGGTCTTCTATGAGAAGACCTCTTGGTCTTCTATGAGAAGACCTTCTTGTCTTGGTCTTCTATGAGAAGACCTTCTTGTCTTGGTCTTCTAGTCTTCTAGGAGAAGAAGTTTTGGTCTTCTATGAGAAGACGTTCTTGTCTTTTATGAGAAGACATTTCGGTCTTCTATGGGAAGACATTTCGGTTTGCTATGGGAAGACATTTCTGTCTTCTATGAGAAGACCTTTTGGTTTTCTATGAGAAGACTACTTGTTTTCTAGAAGAAGAGAGAAGAAAAGACTGTTTGGTATTCTATGAGAAGAACTTTTGGTCTTCTATGAGAAGACCTTCTGGTTTTCTATGAGAAGACCTTCTGGTCTTCTATTAGAAGATCTTCTGGCCCTCTATGAGAAGACCTTTTGGTTTTCCATAAGAAGTATATTTGGTCTTCTAGAAGATGAGAGAAGAGAACACTCTTTGGTATTCTATGAGAAGAATATTTGGTGTTCTATGAGAAGACTTTCGGTCTTCAATGATAAGACCTTTCGGACTTATATGAGAAGACCTTTCGGTCTTCTATAAGAACAACTTCCGGTCTTCTATACTAAGATCTTCCGGTCTTATGTAAGAAGACCTTCCGGTCCTCTATTAAAAGACCTTTTAGTCTTCTATTGGATGACCTTCTATGATTTTCTATGATCTTCTTTGATAAGAGATCCTGGGCCTCTATTAAAAACCAGAAGTTTTTTTGCCAGAATAGAAAACCGTCTGACCTTTTATGAAGAGAACTTGTGGCCTTCTATCAAAAGGCTTTCCATGATAACAACTTCTTGTCTTATTTAAGAAGAACTTCTGATTTTCTACGATGTGACTTTCTAGTCTTCGATGAGGAGACCTTCTTGTCTTTTATGAAGAGACATCCTGGACTTCTATAAAAAGGCCTTGTGCCCTTCTATGGGAAGACCTTCTAGCCTTCTATGAGAAGACCTTCTTGTCTTCTTTGAGAAGACCTTTTGGTTTTCTATTGCAGTAAAAAGATCTCATATTAGAAGACCTTCTGGTCTTCTATAAGATTACCTTCTAGTTTTCGATAGGAGACCTTCTGGCCTTCTATGAGAAGATCTTGTGGCCTATAAGATTCTAATTCGATTTAGAACTATCTGTCCGCCTTTGGAAAAAAAAACTCTAGCTTCCGAATGGAATTAATTAGAAGGACAAAATTTTACTCACATATTCTCTGGGTCCGCAGAATGTTTGGTGTTAAAAATTGTTTCACAGTTTGTTATAAATCGCATATAACGGTGCAGTCCGAATAAGAGCTGATGTCCTAATTATATATTTTAACCAAATTTGCAGTAAAGCGGCAATTTGAGTTCCCACCAGACATAAAACATCCTTGGAAAGAACTAAGCATATAGGTCCAGGTTGCGCTATAGACTCTAAATGACGATATATCCCGATATTCGGTATTTAGACACATTTTCAACGGATTAGGTACTATATTCGGCAAATAATTAGGCACATTATTAAATGGAATTTTTCCAAAATTGGTATTTTGAGTTCGTCATAGGTCCCGCCTTCTTTGTCTATACGGGTCCACGTTTTCGTAGATGACCTACATAACAGTACCGCACCATATTCGGTGTTTGGATGATTTTTTGAACATTTTTCAATATAATTGTTTGATGTTTGGTATTTGGAATTCTCAATAAGTACCAGCAGAGGTTTTCATTTTCATGTAACCTCCAAATAATGGGAAAACCCGAATCCGACGATTTTGATGATTTTTTAAATACCAATAGGAAGTCGTTACTGACAAATATAACATAAATCGCTCAAATGCTTGACCACGTAACATAGACTAATTGTGTAACTTTCAAAATGGTGGAGGGTATAAAAAGTCGCACTTAAAATTCCGAATTATGGAAGCAAAGTAAGTTTAGGAATACCAACTAAAGTATTATGTAGAAAAACTTGGTCAAAATTCAGGTTCTATTTTAAAACTTCTATAAAATATTTTCTAATTTTTTTTATAGGACTTCTTTATTGATTAAAAAAATGTCTAACAGAAACCCAAGATTCATTTGGGTTCGTTAAACTGTCATTAAAAGTAATATTTTTAAATACAATTTTATGATCAATGCTCTTTCCATTATTCGAATATAAATTTTATTATATATTGTAAAAAAGAAACCATAAAAATATTTTTTTATTTACGCACCAAATTAAGAATTGTGCAAATAAGTACATTTGAACTGAATCAAGCAAACAAAAACTCTTCAACGTTTTATTATTTTTTGAACTACATCTCAACTTAAAAACTGGGTGTGGAACTGAAAGTTCAAACAAAGTCTTAGAATTAGTGCCACTTAACTGTCAAAGGACTCCGACCACCCGCAGCGTTTACTTTACGATTTTGTTATAAATATGCAAAGTTCCTTCATTTTCATGGATTTAGGGCAATAAATATGAAATGGTTTTGTTTCCATTAGTGATTTCTTTAGCAGAAATGCTTTTTTTGTCCGAATCACATGTGAAACATAATACAGCTCGTAAACAACGATTTGGAACAGCAACAACAACAAAAAATAATTTTAGAAACCAGAATCCAATAAATTTTGCTAAATCGTTCTATAATAAATACCACTGACGTCTACAACATTTTAGGCAAGACATTAAACCACAAAAGTGTATTTGGGTGTGTGTTTGCTATTTTTTGATTTGAAACCAAAACAAAGGAGTAATATTTGACAGACGCTAGGGCAGTGATTTCATCACGATTAAATCGGGTTTTGGAATTTATAGGAAATTAAATAATTTAAATGAAAATGAAATAATTAAATAGTTTTTGTACGGATGATAGAAAGTAGAACACTTCCGGTCTTCCATGGCAGACCTTCTGCTGATCTATGAGCAGATCATTTCTGGCCTTCTATGATAAGACCTTTGCTGCTCTTCTATGAGAATACCCTTTCTGGTCTTCCATGAAATAACCCTTTCTGGTCTTCTATGAGAAGACCCTATCTGGTCTTCTATGAGAAGACCTTCGGGTATTCTATGAAATTACCTTTTTGGTCTTCTATGAAAAGATCTTCTTCTGGTCTTCTGTGAGAAGGCCTTCTTCTGGTCTTCTGAGAGAAGACTTTTTTTTGTCTTCTGTTAGAAGACCTTTTATGGTTTTCTATGAAAAGACCTTCTGGTCTTCTATGAGAAGGCCTTCTGGTCTTCTATAAGAAGACCTTCGGGTCTTCTTCTAATCTTCAGTGAGAAGACCTTCTTCTGTTCTTCTTCCTTGGTAAGGATGATAGAAAGTAGAGCACTTCCGGTCTCCATGAGAAGACATTTACGTCTCCTAAGAGGAGACATTTAGGTCTTCTATGATCAGGCTCTTAGGTCTTCTATGAGAAGATCTCAGGGTCATCTATGAGAAGACCATCGGGGCTTCTATTAGAAGACCATCGGGGATTCTATTAGAAGACCATTGGGGCTTCTATTAGAAGACCATCGGGTCTTCTATTAGAAGACCATCGGGTCCTTCTTCTGGTCTTCTGTGAGAAGACCTTCTTGTCTTCTATGAAAAGACCTTCTTGTTTTGTATGAGAAGACCTTCTGGTCTTCTATGAGAAGACCTTATTCTGGTCTTCTGTGAGAAGACCTTCTTCTGGCCTTTTGTGAGAAGACCATCTGGTCTTCTATGAGAAGACATTGTGGTCTTCCATGAGAAGACCTTTTGGCGTTTTATAGGAAAACCTTCTGGCCTTCTATGGGAAGACCCTCTGGTCTTCCTCAAAGAAGAACTTATGGCCTTCAACGAGAAGACCTTCTGGCCTTCTGCGAGAAGACATTCTGGTGTTCTATAAGAGGACCTCCTGGCCTTCTTTAAGAGGACCTTCTGGCCTTCTATGAAAAGACCTTCTGGCCTTTTATGAGAATTCCTTCTGGTCTTCTATGAGAATACCTTCCGGTCTTCTATGAAGAAACCTTTCAACCTTCTATGAGAATACCTCTGATCTTCTGTGAGGAGACCTTCTGGTCTATAATGAAAACTATTAAATTTCGAATACATATTTTCCCATTTTTTTTAATATTTTTCGATTTAGAGCTTCAAATAATTTCTAACGCATATTTACATTCATTTTGAATCGTTTAAGGTCCAGTTTAATTTTTTTGCTAACAGCTTTTCGTATTATGTTTCTAATTATTTTAACAAATATTATTGCTTATTTTTTGTTGTTCCTTCGGAATAATGTAATACGGATTAAAATTCAAACCTTGGCATGAAGTTTGCACATGTTATTTTATTTGCTGTGTTTTTTTGTCGATTTTCAATAATGCCTTGCTTTGTTGTTTATTACAGAATGTTCCATTTTGATTTGCTAGCATTTTCACATGTACAAATGGTGTTTTCAATAATTTTTAATTTAAAAAATAAAAAAAACCGAAACACTTGGGTGTTAATTGATTACGTTTATTATTATTGCATTTTTTCGCACAGTAACCGCAAATGATTTGTATTTATTGGGGCGGGGGAAAACATCAGCACAAACATATATAATATATATCATGGGCGACATAGGGTAAATGTAACAATTGTTACACAATTTTCAGATGGAAATGAAAAAATAAAGAAATAAAAATATTTTATGGGAAATCTTTAAAATGATTGGAATTCACCGTTGAGATATGAATCAACAAAATTGAATTTATTACCCATTTGTTTATATTACCAACAACAACCCTAGGCAACATGAGAAGGGTACTACGCCCTGGTATTTATATCACTTATCCATCTAAAGCACCAGGTCTTAAAAGCCAATTTCGCAATTAACTCCACTCTTTAATGCATATAAATTATTTAAAATTACTTTTTGTTAAATAAATACTCAAATTTGTTTCTCTTTTGTGTTGCAGGGCTCGCGTGTCAGCACCATCAATGATTGGCTGCAAATAAAAATTGGCGGCGATCAGGAGGTCAAGAAGAAAAAACGAAGACAAAAATTGAATCGCATTAAATCAACGAAATATACATTCATCACATTTCTGCCACAAAATCTACTCGAGCAGTTTCGTCGAATAGCAAATTTCTATTTTTTAGTTATGACAATTATATCATTGCTAATTGGTGAGTATGCGAATTGAGAGTGTTTAAATTAAAATGGAGTAAAAAATAACTTAAAATTGGGTTAATTTGCGCCGGACAAAATATAGACTCCAAAAAAGTGGTGAAATAATTGAATGCACGCCTTTTTTTACCTATTTGTATTAAAAACATTTAAAGTAGAAAGTCAAAACAGTTCCTTAAAAATTCATAAACAAAACTTGTAGAAATATTGAACGGTAGACCATTCCGTTGAAAAATCTAGTAAATGGGTGGCAGAAGGGGTTCGCAGATATATATCATCTTCACAGAAAATTTTGTGTTAGCAAAAGTGTTTGTATGTGTGAAATTTGAAGAGAATTTGATGTTTATTTCGCTTTTTTTGAGTGTTTTTTTTTTTTTTTTTCAAAATCTTGAATCCTTTATGGGGAAGGTACCAGAAGAAATCGTGCGATATCTTATCTTGTGTTGATAACAATATTGAGATTGACACATCTCAATATGACACATCTCTCTGAACGAAATCGGATGTTGATTTCGCGTTTTATGAGCGTCATGGATATTCAGACAGAATAAGTGGACCGATATATCACATCTTTACACCAGACCTTGGGTTAATAAAAATATTGTGATATATGGAATATGAAGAGAACCGGACGATTATTTCGCATTTTATAATCGTTTTGGATGCTTATTTCATTTTGGTTATACAAAACTTTGACCCATCTGCGGGTGAGGGAATAGGTCCGATATTTACCATCTTTATAACAGATCTTGTGTTGATGGAAATATTGAGATATACCAAGTCTGAATGGAATCGTTTGTTAATTCTACGTTTTATGAGTTTCATGGATGTTAAAAATGTTGATCCTTTGTGGGGGAAGTACCAGAAGGAGTCGACCGATATATCACATCCCTACAGCCGACCTTGGGTTAATACAATATTGTGATGTGAAGAGAACGGGATGCTTATTTCGGATTTAATAATCGTTTTTGTTATTCAAAACTTTGATCCTTTTGTGGGGGAGGTACCAGACGGAATGATGTGTGTAATTTGTAGACAATAGGGCACTTACATCATATTTTATAAGAGTTTTAAAAACTTTTACACTTTGTGGGAGAGGTACTGGATGGAGTGGACCGATATTGTCCATTTTGGCACCTGACCTAGTACTAAGCAAATATTAGGATTTGCAAAGTTGCAGCAAAATCGCATAATCATTTTCTCTTTTGGTGCAATATATATATATATATTTTTAATTTCGACCTTTTGTTGGGGAGGTATAAAAAGGAGTGAAGCGATATTGCTATCTCCGAAATCGATCTAAGTTTAATAATAATATTACTATGTGCCAAGTTTGGACCAAATCGGATGCTTTCTTCTAGATTTATCGTGCGCACCACCCAGACAGACGGACATCTCTAGATCGACTCCAACCTTCCTGAAAAGGATTTGGTCCAAAGAGACTTAGCGTTTTAAACCGTTATTTCGATGAGGCACGTTTTGGTAGTATTAAATTATATGTACCCTCTCTAGCCAGTACTTCAAGTTTCGTGAAATTATGATCAGATAATATGATAGATATAGCTGGGTATTATGCAATCCACATCAATGATATTTGAAACCAAATATTAGATACATACCAGAAACACTTCTGCCAAGGTCGGTTCAGATTTGGATATAGCTTACATATATATCGTCGTCCGATTTCAATTTTATTGTGCGCAAACATGTAATATTCGTCCAAATAAGATGTATTTCGGCACATCCGACCGAATTCAGCCTAGAAGCTAGTATATCTAATTTAAGATATAGCCAAAGATCCCATATATATGTTTCATCCGATTTAGTCTTCAAAGTCCCTAAGATTCGTAATATGCACTCCTCAACAATGATATTTGGTACCATGTATTTTATCGAGATCGGTTCAGATTTGGATATAGCTGTCATATATATGTTAATCGGGTTTCAGGTTTATTGAGCAGAAAGATGTGCTTCAAATAAGGTGAAAATCCGTTCAAATATAGATATAACTGTATTTTAGTTCTTTCCACTCGTAAAGTCCACTCCATCACCTATATTTAGTGATAGCTTTCAGACATAGAATATAAATACTTCATAAATTGTATAGACATCTGTTCCGATTGGACATAGCTGGAATATATACCTCAATTTGACTTCACGACATATATCCATCAAACCGATGCACAATAGGAAATTTTCATGAAATTTTCATCGTGGACTTCATTTCTTTACAAAATATTTTAGAGTTTTTCTTGACAAAAAAATTACACATATTTAAGAAATTATTTGAATCATGGATATTTGTTAAAAAAAATGTGTGGCAAGCACAATAAATTTTAAAGATATTCCTTAGTAACATAAGTTTTTAAATTCCTATTCAAAAATATTTTCTTTTTTTTATAAATATTTCTTTAGGGTTTTTTGCCATGAAATTTAAATTTTTTTATTTGAAACCATAAATTTGCAATGCTAATAACAATAACCGCATTTTGTAACAAGTATGAATGTGGCAGACAGGAATGTACTGGATTTGAGCCTTTATGAGAGTGGTACCAAAAGGAGTGGAGAGACATATCACATATTCATGATATATTCCATTTGTATATTAGTGAAGTTATTGGGATGGGCAAAGTTTAAATAGACTCGGTTATTTTTTCCACATTTCTTGGTGAGGGAAACGAAGGGGGCCAGTACTGTTCATTTTCGTACCAGACTTTTAACTATATTGGGTATTCCCCTTGGTTGACATTATATATATTTTTTATTTTTGGAAAAAAATTAATGTGTGGAAGGGGTACCAGAAGGAGTGAATCGATATTGGTCATCTTCGAACTTTCTATTGCTAATAGCTAAAACTATCACGAAGAACAAAGTGTAGACCAAACTAGATATTCCCTTTCAGTCCCGAAACGGATTTCGCTCAAAGATACTTAGGTTTTGCAACCGTTATTATGAAAACGAATTTAAATATATAGTTCCATATACCCGACTCTGACTTTTAATGTTTCTTTTCATTAACCAAAGAAATCAACAGTTACCAAAGGAAGTGCTTGTTTAACTTTTCAAATGTTTTTCCAACCTTTACGGTGATGAATATTTCTAAAAATACGTTTTTAATAATAATTTTTGTCAATTTTTATTATCTATTACTTTTGATAAGTTAAGTGTGTTCAATAAAAAGTAAATATTTTTAATTAATTTAAAACTAAAGTGTTAATGTACTAACCAAACACATTCGTGTGTTTGTTATCATCAGCCGACTACATACACATACAAACATATCTACGTACAAACATTTGGTGACAGTTGACGCAGTAGGAAACTCAGCAACAACAATGTATTTATTGAGGTATTGATTGAATGGAATGTTTGTCAATCTATTCATTTCAATTAAACTATTATTTGAAATTGAATGAACTTTTGTTTCGCTAAATTGTGCTGGGGCTGCAAAAGAAAGTGTCAATGTAGATTTATTGCTGGGGGGTAAACGAGAAAGAGAGAGAGGGAGAGAGAGATGGGAGAAGATGATGGCAAATAGTAGACGGACGCATTTGTACAATTTGAAAATTTGTTCAATGTTAAATGAAAATTGCTGCAAACGATTTTTCCCAAATTTGTAGAGAATCTTTTTTTATAGAGTTTTTTTTTAATAGATCAAATAATAGTTGAATGTTTCCCACTCTGGTGGGAATTGCCCCCAATTAAACATTTGGGAATTACTGGCGTTTTTTTTGGCAAACATCTGCCGGTCATCTGAGAATTTTTGTATTCAGAAAATAATGTCAAATTTAACTGCCTCTAACGTTGACAATGAAACAAACACTCTTCCACACACCAAATTGCATTTTAATTTCATGTCCACGTATCGAGATTAATGGCAATTGTGTAACACGACAATGTCGGCAACACAATGAAGTTTAAACGAAACTTGAAATTGAAAATTTTGACAAACATTCAAAATATTATCCCACGATTAGGGGGGACAGATTTGAGACAATAACTTGTTGTAGTTAATTAGCCTTAACCATGACCACAGACAATTGGGTAATTTTGAAATGATAGCTATGGGATTTTGGAGCATAGTTATTATAAGACTGGGTTCAATCCGAAAAATATACACTCCTAAAGGTGTGTCATCTGTCACCAAAAATTTAAATTTTAAAATTTTTAGTAGTGGAGTACACGATATAGTACATACTTGGCACATCGTAATATTCATGTCAAAGTTATGTTTGGTGCGAAAAAAGATACAGTTGATCCATTCCTTCTCATGGCAACCACACAAAAGTTCAACTATTTAAATATTAATATATCTAACTCTATTTCGTACTAGAACGGTAAGAAAAGCACTAAAAGGTATTAAATATGGTTCACTTTGCGTTTGACGAACCAGCAGAGCTAGAACTTTAATTTGGACTGAGAGTCCAAAGGATGTTTTCGGAAAACCACCAAAGGATGTTTTTTTTGACATTTGGAATAGGAATCGAGATTGAGGATCGGGGTCAATGTAAGGCGGTAGTATTGGAAGTGTGTACTCATATTAATTTTCATTTAGAGGAACGGATGGAGCTGGAATCATGAAATTTAAGATTTACATTACTGGCGTAGTTAGGATTAGATAGTGAACCGATAAAGCTGAAATCTTGAAATTTGGACTGTATAGGATTGGGGTATGTATGTAGTTTTGGAAATTCGTACTTATGTGTACTAAATAGTACTAAATTTGGTAAAAGTTGAATTTGAGTGAACCGATTTCAATTGGATTGTATGAAGCAGGTTGTTATGGAAATTTGTACTTTCGTGTACTAAACGGTACTAAATTTGATACAAATTGGAATTGTGGGGAACCAATAGAGCTGGAATCCTGAAATTGGGAATTAAGATTTTTGTGGGATTGTACGAATAAGGAAATTTGGAATGTAGGATTGGGTTATGTAGGAACTTTGGGAAATTCGTACTTATGAGTACTAAATTTGGTACAAATTGGATTTGGGTGAAC